CATAGATGCAGTGGGAGACCCACAGTTATGATCCATGTCGACGAGGGTCCAATCTCTCTATTTATGGCCGTTATTGTTGGCAACCACCAATCCAGTTGTACCCTAGTGTTGTTCCATACCCAATCCCCTGTAATTATATGTTCTGCCATGTCTCTTGTAGCGAACTGGAACAAGAATTTTCCATCCCCCATCTCATAAGTATTCAGACCATGAGTCTATCTCCAATTTTTATTGGTCTATCTCCTCACTTCTGATAGAGTAGGTACACTCATATCCCTTCTTTCAAAGCTTCCAACTAAACTTCTCTTTAAGACTTCGTTGTGGTTATTCGAGACATCATTAATGCAAATGACTCCCTGCTCCTTCTCATTCATTAATGTTGCTCTAACATTAACTCCCTCTCCTTTCCCGTTTGACCATTTAAAGCTCCTAACATCTTCTGCAAATGAGGTATTACTATCTACTAGTCTCTGTTTTATTCTGTTTTCTTCCACTCTGTGCCTGGAAAGGAAACTATCAATTTTGTCTGCAAAGATGTCCCATCCTGAGTTAAAAGACAACTCTGGGATGATGATAACAAACCTCCTCCTTCTTCTTATGTTTATCAAAGTAATATATCTGCCATGGACGTTGTTGAAATTCCTGGAGCAGTAAATTTCTGAAAGAGCTTCTGTTTTCTTCCACCTCCTGACCAGATTTCCTTTTGCCTTTGAAGCTTCACGCATGACCTGAGTGATCCAGATCATAGATTTCTTACTAAAAGAAGTTCTAGTGATTGTTCTTCTTCTCCTTTCCGTCCACTCGTACCATTCTCCAGTCGTTCCGTTGATTCGCTCGATGTCATAAGATTTAAAGCCAATAGCAAAATAAATACAATCCTCAATTACAGAGAAAGGGTTTCAAGTAAAAAAAGTAGGTGAGGGAAAAGTTTCCGGTGATCGGAAGGACCACCGAAAAGGGGGGGGGGGGCTAAGGTGTTTCTAGTTCATTCTTGGAAGTTGTGCCTGGGAGAAAATCCCAATGTGTTGATATTCTCATTACTTTTCTTATGTAAAAAATTGAAAATGAGTTAATTGGATTCAAGCAAGCAATTCCATGGAGCAAATCGGTAGTCACCTCATCAAAATGATCATTAATTTCTTGAAGTTGTCAATCAATGATATTGCAAAACACTTCAACACGATAATGATGTAAGATTGTATAGTTAACAAGTTTCCGCCGTGATCTTAAAGAGATAACATATGGCTCCTCAAAGTTAGGTATCAAACCATCATGTTTGATACAAAATGTAGATACCTTGGCAATAAGAGAATGCCATTCATCATCTCTTAAGACTTGCAACCTTCTTTTTGCTACTTCAACAAGTAGCATGACATTTGCAATATCTTGCTCTTTTTTTGTAAGCATTTATTAAGCTCATTTGTGATTGCTAAGACATCTCTCATCAAATGCAACATAAACGCAATCTCAAATATTTGACAAACTTCAAGATGTCTCATTGCCTTGGCTCTTTCATCCATACTCCTTGTATCAAGAGCAAGTGATTCAAGAACCTCAAGAATAGAGCCAAACATAATAATAAAATTGTTAAAGGATTTTATAATGAGATCCCCAACGAGTATTACAAGCTCTTGAAAGACCAAGTTGTTGATTCAAGCCCCTACCGGTTGTAAGTTCACCCATATCTAATGCCACTTGAATTGTTGATTTTTGAGAATCTCGTAAATTATCCATACGCTTAAAAGAAGATCCCAATACATTAAAAATATTTGAGATCAATACTACAAGTTTTCCCACTTCAACACACTTTTTAGAGACCCTAACAAGAGTTAGTTGAAGTTGATGAGCAAAACAATGGATTGAATGAGCCGATTTACTTTCTCGTCTAATCAACATTTTAAGGCCATTGATCTCACCTTGCATATTACTTGCCCCATCATAACATTGTCCACGCACACTTGATGGACTCAAAGAATGTTGAGCAAGTAAATTAAAAATTGCCTCCTTTAAAGATGAAGCACTAGTATCTTCAACATGAACTAAATAAGTCGCTCAATTACAAATCCCATTCTATCAAAATATCGAAATACGATAGCCATTTGCTCCTTGCGTGACACATCAAAGGATTCATCAACTAGTAAAAGCAAAAGTAGTCACCATTTAATTCCTCAAGAATAGCTTTAACGGTCTCTATCTTACATGCACTCACAATATCTTTTGAATCATTGGAGAAGTCATTTGATCATTTAAAGGAGCATGTTCCAAAACATAATCACGAATTTTATCACATTTTTTTGCATACCATGAGAGAATTTCAAGAAAGTTACCCCTACTAAGTGATGATTTAGATTCATCATGACCTCGAAATGCAAATGCCCGACTTATGAGAAGTCTTACTACGTCAACCGACGCACTTAAGCGCATATAATATCCATGCTTGAGTTGATTAGATTGTATCTCAAATGCAAATTGAATAGACCGCCGTTGTCGTAGTAAATCTTTGACACTTCTTTTTTGACTGATTATGTATGCTATTTGGTAGACCAATATGTTTGTCAAGACCACCCTTTTTGTTCCAACTCTTAAATCATATAGTTGAAAATGTTTCCCCTCCTCCTTGATTAGTGTTATGATCTTTAAAAAGATAGCAATACAAACAATAGACTACATCTTTACTAACACTATACTCCAACCAATCATGAAATATATCATCAAACCATTCATGATTAAAACGACGCATTAATCCAGAAATATCTGTTTGAGGATACTCTTGCACCACCAAACGAGGTTGATAAGGACCATTCAAAAGGTATGCTCTTCTAATAATATCACGGTGGTTTGGGTGATAGTTCAATATTGATGTTCTTTCACCAGATCAAACTTTAAAAAACTCAAATCAAATTCTTGAGAAGAATCTAATGACACTTCAGAATTATTAGTATTTTCTTTTTGATTAGATTAACTATGACTTTGAGAGGCTAAAGTTGATTTCGGTACTTGTGTAAAATACTTCTTCACTGAATATTGAGACTGAATCGTAAAATAAAAATTTAGTCAGAACTTACAAAAATTAAATATGCAATAAGGACCAAAACAAAATTATAGACAATGAACAAAAGTTTGAATCTCATAAATAAAAGTTAATGTCCACTAAACAAATGTTGAATGTCCATAATAAATATATAAAATCAACAAATAAAATTACAACTTTCATAATTAGTGAATAGAATTGAAATTTTCATATGAAAAATAAAAAATTGTTAAGAGAAGTGAATATTCGAGCTCAATCAGCTAAAGAAAATAGCACATCAACAAATACCAGAATCAAAGCATAAAATTCTGAAGAAAAAAAAAACAAAAAAACTAAAAAAAACTTACAGAGGTTGCCATTACAAATGGAGCCTGAAGGGGAGAATGAAATTAATCCACGGAGGACCACCACTCCTCCACCAGTGGCCAGTGGCAGCAAGCATCAGCAGCAACAGGCGGCAGCAACGTCGGGACTGCAGCAGCGGCCAGCGAGCAGCAACAAAATGTGAAGTTGAACGAGAAAGACTAGGAAAAATATAATATTGCAATCCCTAGAAAAGAGGGGTTTTTTTATTTGTTGACTTTTCAATTAGAGATTTAAAATATAAATTTTTTAATTAGTTATGACTTTAAAAATAAAATAAAATGTTGTTGCCCGGAATTGATCCCGCAACCCAAAGCTCACTTAAGCAAAATCTTGAACCCCATCAATCGTTGGGCTACTCCTTTGATATATATTCAGGTGGTTCAATTTTAAATATATACACGTACATAAAAAATTCCATCTTGTGTAATTTTTTTATCAAGTGGATTCGGATAACACTATACATCCGCCCCTGATGGCGACTAAGAGAAATTTAGGGTTTTGAGGGATAAAGGAAGAACAATGGAGCTTTTATAGATCAGGAAAGACTTTGAACATTTTAAGAGATTTTACATTTACCCCTCACAACTATATTAATTGGAAATTAATCCTTCTTTAATTTTGGCTGCCCTTTAAATTTAGCATTAAGTGTCAATTTGATACTTTAACTTTTTAAATAATTATTTAGATATCTTTACATGATGAATATGTGTCTCATGAATATCTCACAATGATGTATAAATCACGTGTCTTAAACTTTGTTATACTTGTGAATTTGCTAAGAAATCAAAAGTATACAGATATGAAACTACACACACGCATGCAGCACGCATGCGCGCGCACACATGTTGGTTATATTATTTTTTTCAGTATATACTATCATATGTGGTTATATGTATATTAATTAAGAAAAATAGTTGTATTTTATATATAGAAGTGTATATAAGACGTTTTGAATACATAAAAAATAAATGGCTAGAGAATGATTCAATTTCACGTATTGTAATTCATACTTTCTTCTCGTAGAAATCAACTCCCAAACTTAAAATATTTATTATTGTCTTATTGAATTTTTCACGTCAACAAATTTCAAATTTAAATTTCTCACCACCATCTCACAAGAAAAATATTTACTACTCTCTTATAAATATTACTAGCTATGTTTTCTAAAATTACTCTAGAATTCTGATTCTAAAGTGCTCTTCCCAATTCTCTAGACTTCTTTGATTATTTTAGATTCTTTGTGAAATATCTTAAATATATGAATTAAGTTGTTGATGAATTTTTAAAGTAATTTATTATTGTATCATTGATAGAACTTAAAAATAGTTATATTATTAATACAAAAATGAATTTCAAAAATTATTATATTATTGATATATAACAAATTTCAAAAACTCTCGCTACATATAATAATTTATAAAACTCTCGCTATATTTGATAAATATAGTTTGCATGCCTAGTTAGGTATATAATTTCAAAAAAAGAACAAATTGAAGAATTTCTTGGAGTTTATAAGTATTCTGATTTGTGACTAGACAAAGTAGTTGACTATAACATGAGAGACTTGGCCACATTTTATCCACAAAACACTTGTACATTCCATACAAAATTTCTTTCTGATAGCATAACAACTAAGAAAAAAACCAAACACTATCTTCTTCTTCTGACAAGAAAAAAAAATCAAGAAAATGTCAGTGGCATCATCATCTACATTCCCTTGCATTAAATTCCAAAATTACCCTTCTTATTCAACAAAGCCTATAATACTTACTATAAGAAATTCTCAAGCTGAAGGTCCAATTAGAAGACCAGTTGCTCCATCACCACCTAAGCCTAGTAATATCCCACCACCAATTATTACTACTACTGCCCCTCCTAAGCCTGTGGCTGTCACAACTTCTGAGGGTAAAAATGTAATTACACTTGAATTTCAGAGGCAAAAGGCTAAGGAACTTCAAGGATACTTTAAACAGAAGAAACTTGAAGAAGCTAATCAAGGCCCATTCTTTGGTTTTATTGCCAAGAATGAAATCTCTAATGGAAGGTACTCACGCCGTTTTAATTTGTTTGTTTTACTCTTCTTTTTAGTCTATTTTAAAAAGAATAATTTTTTCGGTGATTTTTTAATTTTTTCTTAGATAACAAAATTAAAAGACATTTTTCTATATTCTACGTACCTTTAGTTTAAGATGATATGTTACTTTCTTAATCTTTGTGTCAAGTCAAAATCAGACAAAAAAATTAAAATGAAAGAAGTAAAATAAAGAAGTTGATTCAAGAATTAAGGTTTGATGTAACTGTCTTTCTATTTTGCTTCAATTTTGAAGTTGGAATGTGTTCATATTACCATTGGTTTTGGTAAGTTTTTTTGGTATGATTTTAGCCTTACTTTAATGTGCCATTTGTGTGTGATGCTATATTGTTTTTGATATAAATATTGACTTACAAGAATGACATAGGCACATGTAACTGATAAGTGGCGGAGTCAGAAATTTTATCGAGGATATTCTAAGGTTTAGTATATGTGAATGAAAAGTAATTTTTGACTTACATACACAGTATAATTTTACGATAAGTTGTTCAACGAACCAAGCTTTGCTCTGTATGGCTATGTTGCCACTAGCTCTGTTAAGTGTTAAGTACCTACCTTTGGCATGTCGATATAGGCGTTTAAGAATCTAATATCATTCCATTTGACAATCTCTTTATAAATGCAATAACATAACATAATGTATAATGAAACAGAATGTGCAGAAATTAGTGCAAGTTTGGTTACAGTACACTTTGTACATACACATTCTTTGCACTTGATGTTATGGAAAAACATGTATATGCAGATGGGCGATGTTTGGTTTTGCTGTTGGGATGTTGACAGAGTATGCAACGGGTTCTGATTTTGTCGATCAAGTTAAGATCCTTCTCTCCAATTTTGGCATTGTAGACCTTGAATGAGACTTTTGCTGTAAAAGAGCTTATAGATTCATTTGTTTGAGCCACAATTGTTGTATCTTACAACTCCTTTTTACTTTTCAACAAATATATATAGCAAGTCTGATAAAGATTCTCATACTTGGACTACAACTTTTTTATTTAGTTTCCCACTCGGTGTTCTGAGCCCATATTAGAGTTCCGACTAAATTCGGATCGCGCACTGCAGGGTCCATTCAGGGGTAGTGCTCCCAACATAATTTTCTCCATATCCAGTGCTCAAACTCGAGACCTGGGTGAAGCACTTCCACCAGTTCACCAAGATATGTGACTGGACAGGCTTCTACCTCCATCTCTTATTCCAAGTTCTTTTTACTTTAAGCATTTATCATTTTCGATATAATGATTTTTATTTTTTTTTGATATAAAGACATTTGTTTACCATATAAAGAAATTTTTAGACATTTTTTTTTAGCATATAAAGAGGTTTTATGGGGTGGATACTAGATCAATTAGCAGTTATTTTTTTTTTTTGGTTAAAATGAGTTGGGGGTTAACATTTTTTTAGGCTAAAAATTAAGTAACATGTTGTTACATTTACCCAAATATATATCACTTTTCAGCTTGAGTAACCTTTCTAATAAAATAGTAAAATAGCATAATATAGGTGATTATTATGATATGAAAAAAAGATAATCTTTTGAGTAAATAACAAATAGTAAGTGAATTTTCTAGTATAAATAAAAAATAATAATTTTTGTTACCAAACAATCTAACACGATGGTCAATAGATCAAAAAAATTGTGACATACAATTTATTTGGGGAAAAAGAGTTTTTTTTTTTTTTTAAAATATTATTATTATTGTTATTTTAGGTCAGTGACAAACGGTAAATAAGACATAAAGAAGAGAGTTCAGTTACTAAAATATTTGATAACACAAGAAATTTATTTTTTATGAGATGAGATAATATTAAGACATAAATAAGACATAATGTAAACCTAAGCTATTTGTATTTAAGAAAAAGGACAAAGATCAAATCTGATAAGTTTTTGAATACTTAAATGATTAAAATCGGTAAGTTTATAGTTAAGAGACTAAAACTGGTAAGTGTATAGTTAAGGGACCAAAGTTGATAAGTTTTTAAATAGTTAAAGGACTAAATCCGTCAAGTGTGTAATTAGGGAATCATTTTAGACCTATTCCTATAGTTAATGAACTATTTATCTCATTTTTTCTATCAAAAGTCAAATCCCTAAAATGTAGTGAAAAGATTTTGACGACTCCTTTTTTTTTACTCTTGCTTACCGTAATTAAAAAAGTTAAACAAATAAAAATTAAAATTATGTTGGTAATGGCCATATATATATACTAGATAATGTGGCCCGTGCTATAATATAAATGGTATGTTTTGGGGCTAATAATCGAGTTTTTGAAGCGATTGTTTGCGTGGATAAAAGAATAAGTTTTTTTTATCACAAACATGTACTTTCTTTGACGCTATTTAAGGCATAATAAGACTACCCACATACAACATTTTTGAAATATTTTATGTTGTCAATTATCATGATCTATAGTATTTTTACGCAATTTTTAAATATAAAAAAAA